CACATGACACTCCATCTTAAACCGGAGCCACAGGCAACGGCACAGGGAAGAGAGAAGTGGCAGAAATGATAGTCTATTTTTCAAACCACGCAGGCCTTCACACAAACGCACCCAGAAGAACACAGTCACTTATGTGCACAGTATTACATAACAGGCTATAATTCAGCTAAGCTATTAAGTTAAGTAGTCTATTTGCCAATTTGACATCAAACATCTTGTTAAATATGGGCTGCATCCTTATTTTGTATACATACTTTTCAACCCTATTTTTACAAACATATAAAGTGAGTTAGTGGAGAGAAAAAAAGAGAGAAAAAAGAGAATGGATAATTGGACTTAAAGGGATAGTAGAAATCCGCGAATTTTGGGTTTAACTTATGTATTTTTTATTAAAAAGAAGCATAATAAACAATTTTTTTTAATGTCATCCGCCTAGTTTCATTTTATTTTCAATTTTACTGCGCCCTCTCAATGAAACGAAATACTTCGGGAATCGTCGGGAATCTTCGGGTGATGACGAGAGCATAGGAAGACGGGCACAAACAATGGCGGACATTCAATAGCATTTGCATGTGAATAGCCGACCTTTATTATGGTGAATAGATGTGTTTTGTATGGCTGTAGTGCGACAGAAAAATTCTACGTGACACAACGACATTGGATTAACCTTGAGATGCGTTTTTATTCCGTTGAACACAACTTTTGATCACAAATCAAAAAAGGTAAGACGTAATTATTGTAATATTTTTGGAACCGGATGTTGTTTACTTTCTCTTTTCTGGCTGATAGCTCCAGGAATTCGAGGTCTTACAGTGATGATGACATTACATGTGTGGAATCTGTGGAGTCTCAGCTTTAAATCGTATATCTTGTTTGTGCAGTTAAGATAGTAATAAGGGCATTTCTACCGTGTGTTGTGTGTAAAAAAAGCGTTAGCATTAGTTAGCATTGTTTCGCTCAATGCTAATTCAAAGGCTTGGTATTACTCTTGTGTTTTTTCTAGCTAACAATTGTTCTTATTGTCAGTTAGCGGAGTTTCTTACCTTTAAAAGGGTATGAAACATTAATAGTTTCATAAATGTTAAGAAGCCCTGAGACATGTGAGAGAAAAAAAACTGTGGGAGGGGTCTACTGGGGGGACCTTCGGGCTTAACTGGTTAACAATGATTAATATTTGTAAAGGCTACAGGTGATCTTAAGATGCGTGAGCTATGCTTAGGGACCTACCAGTCAATATTATTTGTGCGTAGGGGTGCATCATCTGGCGCCTGGTCCTGGTCATCCTCGCCATTGCCCATGCCGTGAACCATCACCTTGGGCTCGGGCTCGAACAAATAAGGACGTAATGGTCCATCGTCTGGCTCAATATTGTCACCATCGTCGCTTACTGAACCGGATTCAGATTCAGTTCCTAAAACGACATTTTCGTAGGAAAGCCAAGAGGATGTTTCTGACTCGCTATCATCACTGGATACCTCGTACAATCCTTCTTCTTTGTCTGGTATATTTGCCCTTCCACGTTCATTCTGCATAGACGCCATGGTTTGTTATCGTATCGTCTTCCTAAGTTTTCGTCACTTCCGGTTTGGCTGAGTCGAACATTTCGTTTCTAAAAAACTTCGGGGAAGCTGCAATAAAGTGCTTCTAACATGCGTAAGGCAATTATTATATTTTTTAAATCAGGTGTGATTGTTTTGGTACGTAATTATGCTTGTATATAAGTTCAAACGAAACTATTTGAGGTTCCATTTCCACTATCCCTTTAAGTTTCCCAAGTGACCAGAACCATGAGTCCAAAGGAAAATGTCTCTGGACGTCTAAATAAGAAACTGTTTGCTAACAAATGTGTGATATCAATATCAAATAAGGGGTCATATGTCAAAATGTTAAGAACCTGAAGTGAGAAGTGAGTCAATATCAATTAATCGTTGTTCACACTTGACTAAGGTGAAGCTACCGCACACGCTATGTGTTGTTTGTTTATATCACGTAGTCTGTTCTTCTTCTCTGTCTTCCGGTTGTTGCCTGTTTTTAATGACAAATACACACTACCGCCGCCTGCTGGTAAGGAAAGTTATTGCCACTCACGCATGCGCAGTTCGTACGTGCTCGGCGAGTTTTAGTAACGACCCCATCTCTGGAGTTGGCGTTCTCTACTCTGATTTACATGAAGAACAACAGGAGGCCACGGCTCTCTGTTGAACAGGACTTGCGAGTGGCCCTCTCCTCAGTGCCACCAAGGATTACAAAATTCTGCGCGCCCCGACAGGCACATGTATCTCACTAATTTGTTAGTCGGCAAAATATTTACAATAGCACATGTTTCAATACTGATTGCTGAAATGTTACATTTATAATTTGTAGTTCAGGACCATGGACAATGCAGCTTCCTTGCATTGACAGTTCTCTGTGCTGAATTTCTGCTGAGTTTCCTTTGCCTCATTTTTAATTGTGTGACCTGTCTGGTTTAAATGAGTGTGTTGCTGCTTTGATGAAGCCTAATTTGATAAAGTTTCAAATTAATTTCTGAAATATTTCGTTAATAAATATTTCACGAGTAATATAGTTGTCTTTGTCACATTTTATTTGGCGTTAGTAAATAATTATGCACATTTACAGATATTTTACATGATATGAGTGATAACACGTGTTATAAGGGCTATTTTGCACAATAGGTGTGCCTTGAGATTTTTACTTGTCCTTTGGTGTGCCTTGGGCACAAAAAGTTTGGGAACCACTGGTCTAGTGTATATGTTTACAGTGTAGCAAAACAACTTGTTGGCAGAGAGGAAACATTAAGTCAGGTTGTTTTAAAGAGAAGACTAAAGAAAACACATGTTATATGAACAGCAACAGCTGAAACAAATTCAGACCATAAACCACATGTTAAACAATTTGACGCAATGAAAAGGATTATACTTAAAGGTGACTTTGAAATGTTTACTCATAAGTAAGTTATTTGACATTGTGGTAATACTATGTAAAGCCTGCCCATAATATATCTAATTGTTTGTTGAAACCCCACACACACACACACACACACACACACACACACACACACACACACACACACACACACACACACACACACCACACACACACACACACACACACACACACACACACACACACACACACACACACACACCACACACACACACCACACACACACACACACACACACACACAAAGGACCGCACTTAAAAAAGAAACAGGAGCTGACAAGACGGTTCAGATTATTTGCGACGTGAGAGGAGGGATGTCACCTGGGAAGTGTGTTACGGCTGGGAAATCTGGAAACAGTAAAAAAATAAAAACAGGGAACATCAGAGGTAGGTAATAATATGAGAGTTCGCTGGTGTGACCTCTGGCCTCCCTCCCTCTTGGCTGCTCCCTTTGAGCCGCTAAAAGGCGTGCGGTGTGAGAAGCCAGAAGACAGCTGCACCCCCCCTCTCCTCCTCTGGGCCCTCTCTGGGAAACTGAGGTCCCCTTTCCCAACTCACTTTAAAAGCTGTGGGGTCAGGAGGAGCCGGGGCCCAGTTGAGGTGGTCCAGCCGGGGATAGAGTTTCACTGCTTTACACGGCCAGTCTGGACTGCTTTGTGTGTGTGTGTGTGTGTGTGTGTGTGTGTGTGTGTGTGTGTGTGTGTGTGTGTGTGTGTGTTGGTAAAAATGGGAAATAAATGGGATGCTATTGTCTTTATATTTAAACTACAAATAAAGAAGAAACTTACTGTAATGATCACAATCCCCTTCACTCTGCCACAGTGCAGAACACATGTATTTACACATGAGAGTTTGTGCACACAGGGTGGATGTTGCACAGGATGCTACAGTTGCTGAAGTATTTGCAAAATCATATAGTGAATCACTGATATTACGGAAAGTACAAAATAATTTGTAGTTTTACTCGCCATCATAACTTTACAGAAGCACTGTCCTGAACACAAACTGAGAGTGTGTGTCTTGGGAATTGCACAAATACTAATGTTTCATAGCTTTGCCAGAGTTTATTGATTACTATAAGAGAACACTGCAGGGTAAATGCACTGAGATCTGTGATCTGTGAATTTGCCCGCATCTCCAAAGTGAGATATTCAAGATAGTATACAGTATTTAAGACATATTGTGCAAACCACTGAATTAGACTGCAAGTACAATAGGTCAAAGGACTAAAGGAAACTGGGAAATCAGCGAGTAAACTGGATGGATGATTGATGGTTTGGGCAATAATTTAACCAAGATCAAGAGCAATCTCGATGGGAAGTTCTTTAAGTGCTCAGAAAAATGAAGGTTTCAACATCTGTGTAACATCTGAGGGCCACTGTGTGATATGATCCAACGCTGCAGAACAGCTACTCAATGGACCTTGAAGTGAGATTGTTTTGTTTGATAATTTTACCATTAACCTTCATTTCCTCTTCTAAATTAGTTGGGCTTGTTTAAAAACTCATCTGACAGTTTTTTTTTCCTGCACCGCTGGACTTGTTTATAATTATTATTGTTGTATTCCCAGTTCATCAACGATGGTAAGGATAACCAACACTATAAAAACAAACTGGAATTGTCTTTGGATTGAAAGCAGAGACCAGAAAGAGGAGGTTGATCTATATCTGACTTCCCCTTTGTCTCCAAGTTCAATCACGCATTGGGATTCACAGTGATTAGAGGACCGGCACCAACCTTTATCGACCAGGAGCTCTGGGCCTCATGCTCAATACTCTTTGTCTGTCCAGCAGGCCATGAGTTAATGTGCTGAACAGTACAGCAGGAAGGTAAAGTAGGGAGAATGCACCAGATTGATCTGCTGCATCTCAGAGGACCGCAGGAAGCAAGCAAACACATCTGTGCTGTAAATTACACTTCTTTATCCACCAAGCTCAAGTCTTAGACACACACACACACACACACACACACACACACACACACACACACACACACACACACACACACACACTCAAATAAAGACAATCTCTGGACTTTTTATTTCTAGAGCTAGTTTATTATCACTGTTATTGTTTTTTATTCAGTTTTGCACAATGAACCCTTAAACAATACAAACCACTAAACATTTTCTATGTTTTTACACACATACATACACACATACAGCACACACTTTGTATGTGGATATGTATACAGAGTTAAACTTCAACACCTTGGTCTAGAGAGTGTAGAAACATACATTTGTGGAAACATACAGAAGTGATCCCTGACAATGCTCTGAGAACGCTTTTTAAATCATCTCATATTGACCTGAATTAAACTGTGGGAGAAACAGTAAGACAGACAGAGGCAGTGACCTCTGCAGATAGACAGATGTGTGATCATAGGCTGGCTTTACAGATCTGTGCTCCTTTGTTCCAACTGGTCGATCTGTTAATTGAACGCAGGCAACACAATGGATGAGGCTTGTTTTGTGACATAAACAAGTAGTTTACACAGCTGGTAAATGCATATGGTTTTTGGTTTCAGGTTGGCACCACATTTGAACCCTGTAGGAATTTAAAAATTATGATAAACTGCATAGACACAAACATATTTAGTTGTATCAATAAAATAAACTGAAGCTAGAATAAAACGGCTGACAGCGTTTGCCTTCTCTTGCCCTTTGTTGCTGTCACATGTTCTACTGAAGGTGAAGACAACAATTATTTCTGTGAATGCATATACATAAAAGACTGATTGAAAAAAGCCATACATTTTTTTATTTCCAAAAACCTAACATAACTAGTTTTGTGTGTGATAAGATTCCTGTCCTATATCATCTCAACCAGGACAGCTTATATACTGTTAATATATCAATCTATCCAGAAGAGATGGTGAACATAAATAACAGCCATGCTTTCATTGGTCGTGTCCTGGTTGACAATGCCAATAAAGTAAAAAACTGGTGGTATCTATAAACAATTACAAATAGTTTCACCTCAGTTCATCTATTTTATGCATATGAGTACAATTCTGGATACAAACCAGCAACATTGGGCAAGAGCAGGTCAGATATTCTTACGCCTACATGGTTAAATATGGCAACAAGATATCGGCATAATTTTATCTTTAGACTAAATAAAACTATTTTGCCTGCAGTGCTGCAGGATCAAAGCTTAGACTGAGAATCACAAACGTGAATGTGGTGCTTTTGATTTTACAATGCATGTCTCTGAAAGCTTAAACAAAGATGTTTTTAACTGACAAGCTGTTATTCACCTTCATGTTTGACGCTAACCTCAAAGGGCAGGTTTTAAGGGGTGGGGGGGGGGGGTCTATCACCTGCATGCACAGTAGATCTGACCCAGGAGCTTTGTTCTTATTTCTGGGGCCAAATTAGGGATCACCCAGCGGCTTTAGAGAGTGTTGACAACATCAATACAGAACAGACATTGTCCTTAAGCAAAGAGGGTTTGCGAAGGAAAATCAAAACAGCTTGTCAGTTTAAAAGGTAACAGGACTGACAGGATCTCACCCCGAGTCACTCGTGAGGATGACTGGTGGAAACAGGATGAAGATGAGGTGATAATCAGACATCAGCGAGAGCAAGACAGATTTATCAACGGAAAAAAGGTCACTCAACCTATTTTCATCAATACACACCATCAAAACAGATTGACCAACAGTGACCATCAATAGCACCATATTGAGCTCACAATATTATTCTGTCATTATTTGTCTAAATATCAGCTACCATCACAAGTCCAATAATGCTAACCAACACTTTTCATTTCAGCTTAAATAACACTTTAGCTTTTAATTTCTCATGCAGATCTACTGTAGGGTTCTCTCTGACAGAGGTATATAAAATATAATACTGATCTCAAACATTAAAGTACATTTACATTAAATCACCATCTTCAAATCTTTAAACTCAGCATTATTTGACATGTACAGTCATCGGGGTCTCAGAGCAGAACGACAGAGAGATAAATGCATCGGAAATTTAATCAATTCACAATCATATCGGGTGATCATTTTGTGCCACAATGATCAATACCATATCAGATAAAGGTAATGTATTTCAAGCAGAGGCTTTAGACTTTTAGAGAAACCAAAGAGAAAATATTTCAGGTTACCCAAAACATACTTGCCCTTGAGATCAACCATTGATACTGGCAATGCAAAACAAATCCTGCACATGCCCAGCCCAGGATGCCTTTTTTGTGAGAACCTGAGAAGAAGTATGAATAAAATGCAGCTGCAACTAATGTTTTTTTAATTTATTTTAATACTTATGTAATACCTTTATTTATTTCAGTAAACTATTGTCTCAGTTGACAGTTAAAACATTAGTGTAAAATGTCCCAAACAATTGATTTGCCTGAAGCTCAAGATAAATTATTTAATACTTTTTGTCTAAAACCCAAAAATATTCAGTTTACCATCATTTAGTGCTTGAGAAATGTGTTAAACGGTTAATAAATTGTTATGCCGATTTATTTATAGATGTATTGAGTGAATAGTTACAGCATTAGAATGAATATCAACACTAAAGAGAGAACTACAGAAGGTTTTTAGTCATTTAGGTTTTACGCAGCAAGAAGCATTACCACAGAAGACGATCACTTCTAGGGTAATCCAGGCAGACTTTTGGAAGATTTATAGACTTTTACAGTAATCTTCGACTGAGATCTAAAGAAAAACTGAAGTGTCCTTGTGAATGTGATTTCCCTGAAGTTGAGGAAAAGAGGACATGTTTATCATCCTGCCAACTATTTCTTTTATTTATGTAAAATGACCAACAAAAAAGGCATCCCTTAACTGGGCATTAGCAGAATTTAAAGAGGGAAATGCTGTAAATTCCAGAAGGCCAAGTGTGGCCCGCTAAGGATCAGAGTCCCTGAGCATACACTCTCCCTGTCCAAAGTTCAGGATTCCTTAATAGAGAAACAGAGGCTGGCTTACTGACAGGAGCTTAGTTGGTGATATAGCACTTCCCAAGGCTGCAAAATATACAAGACAAAGGCCCTTTTATCTCTGTGTCAGCGAAGGAACTTTGTTCCTTCTGCTGATGGAGTTACAGCAGCCAGTCAGTCTCCGGTAAATCACACAAGTTCTAATATTAAACAGTAAAATGACAACCTGACCTATCAAAGTCTTATCACGTAAACATGATCGTCACTGCACCACATCCCCAGTGAATCAGGTTAAACAGTATAGCACTAAAATCTGTCACATCCACGGGTGAGATGTGGGCAATTTCCTGCAGGATATTAACCCTAAATTACACCGAGGGACAGAGGAAGGAAGGAAGGAAGAGAGACAAGCACACCACTTGTTTCCCCAGTGAAATTACTCTCAACAGTAAATACACTGATTAAGGCTGCAGCAGCCCTGGAGATTACATAATCACGTTGGTAGGTATACAAATATACAAGCAGGAGACATTTGTTTCTGCTATCTTGAAGTACCACTATTGTTTTTCCAACACTTGTAACATAATATTAACACCAGAGCGTACAATTAAATACAATAAATGAATGCAGGGAAAACATCTGCAAACAAATAAGCATAGACAAAGAAATTCATAAGGCATAACATTACAGTACCGATGGTGATCACTACAATATAAACTGTGTCTAATGCAGGTTTGCAAAAATACACGAGGGTGGCAGGTGATTCTCTGTGGGGACAGAAACAACTGTCAAGGTGAATGTCAATTCTTAATTTTCCAATTTCCTACATTTTCATTGCTCATTATGCTTCATTTACTTAACAGCTTCAATATCGGTAAAACTGTAAAACCACCAAATGCTAGCCTTGCTAGCTCTGCTGCTTCTCAGTATAGCAGAGAGTTGTTGCTTTGTTGAAAGCTGGCAGAAAAATAGCTACCAAGTGAGCTGACCAGCTTACACCAAACAACATTTTTTGGATTAAACACCAACAATGTAGATAAAGGTAAAGGTGTAGTTGCCTTTGCAAAGTGCAACTCAATGTTAGCTTTGCACTGAAGTGAGGCAACAGAACCATTTAGGTCAACACTGCAAACATCAAAACAAATGGCTAATTTGCCAAACTTTTATACTTCTGTGCTTGTTTTTGCTAAGTGGAAATGTGGCACCTGTCAGAAATTCCCAATATGTTTACCGTAAATGTAGCATGGTTTAGGTAATAACCAATTAACCTGAGGTTAAGGAGCAAGAACGGAATGAATTCATTTGAGTTGTAAGTGTTGGAGTTGTAAGTGCCACCCTCTCTATGTTTTCCAGTTTACTTATTCAGTGATCAACCTTCAACAGAGAATATATAGTCAAACACCTTGAAGGCTTGTGATATGAAGAAAAATGAACCAAATTATACATTCACATCCTCTTGAAACTAAGCATGAAATTGAACAGTTTTTTTAATAGTAGGCCTAAGTGCACGAGATAAAAGTCCTGAAAAAGTTCTCCCTCCTTTACTGTATACCCTTTTCCTGTCTGACCAGCATGTGGCGACCATTGTAATATATATATATATATATATATGTAAATGTTTATATAAGTATGTGTGTATTCTTCTAATCCTTTGTTCATACTCTGTGTCTTTCCTTCATTAAGACCTGAGAGAAAAGCCAAAAACAGGGTTGAGGTAGGTAACCATGATGCATCAGAGCAAGTCCTGTACAGTATGTGACGACTGAGAAACAGAGAGCCGGGAAAGGAGCCCTGTGATTGGAGAGTCACCCTCACCCTGCTCTACACTACATCTGTAATCGTCAACATCCAGCGATATTATGAACATGGTATTCCTGAAGCACTTAAACCAGTCAGTGTTGACAGGAGGGAGGAGGCTGAGCAGCAGTTGCGTTTTTTGAGGAAGAAAGTATCAATAGTCAAGCATGACCAGCAACTGTCATGTCTCCTGGGCACCGTAAGTCTGAAAGGCTACTACTTTGTTTAAAAAAGGAGGCAGATAATGTGACATGAAAATAACATCACTATAATAAGAGCACTGCAGCAAAAAATATCCAGAATGAGGTTAGACATACACTGCATCCCATTCAAATCAAAGGAACAGTTTTGAGTTTTGGGAAACACGCTTACTCGTTTGTTTTGATCAGGTAAGAGAAGACCAATACACCTCTCACATCTGTCCGTTAAATATGTCATGATTAGTTGGAGTTACTGCTCACAGTCAATAAATAATCCAGCACATAATCCCCCCTAATAGGTACATTAATTGAGCCTTATATATACAAATAAAGAAAATGTGTGTATTTCCCAACATCTAAGTATGAAGATAGAGCTGGGAGGGAAGTGTTAGCTAAGCATAACGACTTGAATGTTATGATGAATTGGAAATGGGGGACCCTGATGTAAACAAGACGAAAGTCTTTCTCTGGTCTGCATCCCCTTAACAATTGTATGTTTTGAGCTGTACTGTACTGTACCCAATATACAAGCTGTTAATAAACTTTTCAATCAATCAATCAATCAATGACGGGAAACAGCCAACCTTGCTCTAACCAAATCTGCAAACTAGAACCTCTGAAGCTCACTAATACCTTAGTTATTTCTCATTTATTTTATTTGTGCTCAAACAGTAATTTAAATATTTAAATGTGATTTTAGGGGAGAAGATGTGCTGCACTGTACATGCTAAGCTAGGCTAATCGTCTAGCAGCCGTAGCTTCTTGGATAAAACATGAGTGGTATCATGCGACTGTCAGCAATAAGCGTATTTGCCAGAACAATTTCTTTAAGTCAGTACACCAACAACTGTGACATAATGTGTTGGGTACGATTTGTGCTTAATATTCTTGTTTTACAAAAATCATATAGCCTACCTATGAAAACATTAATTCCAACAAAAAAAAATCTGCATACAAACTCACACAAATAGACAATTCAATCACAGCGCTATTTCAACACACATGTATGATGTCTGTATATTACATCATTTTGCCTGCTGTCCAATTGAACATGATGTAATATGACTCGTTGAGCAGTAAAGAACCCTGGAAACATCATTAGCAATGCAGTGTATCTCTAACGCTCTTATCATTAAAAAAAAAAAAAAGCTTAAAATGGAACAACATTATTCATACCTAAGGTACTGTAATTCATACAACAGGGTATCAGTCTGTCAACTTGCATGAGGGTACTGACATTGTATCTACAAACACCATATTCATCAACAGAGGGAAACCAGGATTTCACAGAGGGGAGAGAAAATAGGGTTTTTCATTATGCAATAAACAGACAAACAACAACAACAACAGCGACAACATTAACATTGTTATCTTGAGGTAGAACATTAACTTCAGCATTTGGAAGTGCTTTATGTTGGATACTCGTTTTTTGTTCGTTTTGCTTCAACAAGCAGGAGAAGAGAGACGATCCTTGACATCTGAGGTAGTGCGGCACCTGATCTTGTAATTTTTTAACCAATCAGTTCCTCCGCATGTAACGTAATTGTGAGCACAGGGGAAGGTCATGTCCCGAAAAGCTTCCCGCAACACATTCATTCCGGCTGAGGTAGGTTTTTGTTGAATCGTAAGGTTCACACAGTCAAGTCTAGAGCCTGTATGAAGGCCAAGACCTCATTTAATATGTTGGTATCACTGAAACAATGTCCTGAGACAGAATACATCGAGTCCCTGGACGAAGGCTAAGGTCTTCTGCGAGCGATAAGGTGGAATCATTGGTAGTGTGAGCAGGCAGCAGGAGTCTTTGACATCCACAGAAAAGTAGAGATAAGACCAATAACTTATAACCACTTTGACATATAGGTGATAAAGATATATACGTATATATATATATTTATAAACTTAAAAATTAAATCATCATTGTATAACAAGGACATTCTGGGGCCTCTATTCTGTGTGCTACCCAACACCAGAAAATTAACAAAAGACCAAATTTGCACAAAAGGAAAAACTACTTTGAAAGGAAACACTTGTCAACCTGAGTGAGAGAAGAGTCTAAGTGGACACTGTGGACAGTGTTGTGTGAGGGGCCTTTCGTCCTGATCAGCCCTGGTCCTGCCGACCCGCTCCGGCTGCAGGACGCTCCTGGAACTGCGTCTCTCGCTCCAGCCCAAACTCGTCCAGCGGTATCGTAGACAGCTGGGTGTCATTCAGCACGTAGGAGTCAGACTGAAACACATGCATTATAAATAGAGTTAGATAGAGAGCACATTGTAGAGATAGGCAGGAAACATGGCAGGTTCCCAGCCACCACGATGCCTGTGGGCTTTTGTTTATCCTCATTATTCCTAACCTCGACTTCGTTTTTGAGTGCTTTCATCACACAATAAGGTTGGTATAAAACACTGTAGCTTTAGCCTACGCCAAATGTTCTTCCTAAGGTTTTGCCTAAATGTAGTAATACAATAAGTCGTGAGTGTTAGAACCTGCAGTTATTCTAAACCAAAGAGACACAATGCTTTAGGTAATATTTTGGTTTTAGGAAAAGATTGAAACATTTTGGAGGTAAAAAAAAACATATACTGTTGTTTGTTTCTGCTCAAAAGGTGGTACACATTTTAAAGCCTGGATTAAAGCCATTACACATAATGTTCAGCCTCTCACACATATTGCTAAATATGATTTTCTGATCAAGATAAATAAGTATATGGAGCTGTTTAACATGCCTTCTTGGAAATAAATTGGGCATGACTGAGAATAAAAGTACAACAGATGTAAAGATTACAAATTCTACACTTTATTACAGCTTGATATTTTTTTTGCAGCTCCAGGCAAGGCTTTCAGTTAATGAAACACTACATTTACCAAAGTAACTTCTGAGATATTAGAATGTGGCCAAGAACACAAGAGATAAAAAGATTATACTTAATGGTGCTTTTAAAACAAGCTTTCTAGTTAAAGTCAAAGTGGATGTTCCTGTCAGGTTGTTAATAATCTCTGAACAGGAAAACCGTGACTGTGCACAGTTAAAGCCCGTGCAGCATGTCAAACTTTAACCAGGAAATGAGGCTGTAAGCTGTGCTAGATGTTAACATTGGACATTTTTGGTTGTAATATCATGTCACATTTAAAACAAAATGGCTTTCAGTTTATATAATTTCTCGTAACCAGGACTCACCATGCGTGTATCTTGTGTGGTGGGCTGAGTAAAAAGTCTCTCAAGCTCGTTGCTGTCGGCCACTTTCTTCCCAGCTGTGCTGCCATTGACCTCCATCTCTCTCCTGGCACCCCCGTTGAGCCCAGAGGCCCCCTGGGAGGAGGAGGAGGACTCCAGCACAGCGCTGTGCCCTGCCTGGGGGGTGGCCTGAACCGCCTTACACATCATTAACCTGGGGATTACATGAACACACACACATGAAACTCAGCTACACACACACATGATAGGCAGACATTAACCTGGAACATCCATTATTGGAAAGTTATTTAAGTTGCTACAATTGTTGGTTTACACATGATGTTTGTACTGACCTGCCGCGGTAGCTGAAGACAAGGAAAAGCACACAGAAGATGATGCAGGTGACTCCGATGTGTATGCCGATTATGATGCCTGTGGTGGATGTTTTGCTCTGTTCATCTTTCACACAGTCACATGGGGCATCCAACACTGAGGAGACACAGCACACCTCACAGTCAAACAATCATTAAAGTTTGTGTAAACAAAGCTAAGTCAGGAAGAAGCAATACAATCAGATGACCTGGATGTGATGTGGAACAGTGTGTAAATACATAAAGATGTGTCAGACAATTACCAGATTTCTCCAACGCCTCTCGAAGAGAAACAAATCGGATGGTGGCGTTGCCATCTCCGTGTTGGTTGTATGCGAACAGCTTTATCTCATAGACCAGAGAAGGATCTGCACAAAAAGAAAAGATGGAAAGAGATGTTCAGATATGTCTTTTAAGCCACAGTAAATCAATAATTAAGTCAACTAAACCTAAAAGATTGATGAAATTGTGACACTTTCACTCATTTTCTTTGTTGAAATTCATAAATAACTTGTTTGTGCTTTGATTCATACTTTAATCTCCAGCACAGCTCCACATAGAGATTATGAGCTGCTTGTTTATGCACCCAGATCACAATTTTCAAATAAGGTTTCTTAATGAAGATAACAATACGATTTAAAGATAGAGATCAGTCGGTTGATGAAGCTAAATCCTAACGAGCTACACATCTCACCCAGCTGAGTGATGTTGTACTGTGTGACGTTGCGAGGGAAGAGGATGGGGCCGGTGAACATCGGAGTGTGGGCTCTTCTGTAGTACAGTCTGAAGCCCTGTTGTTGGCCCATCTTGGAGGAAGGTTCCCACGTTGCCTGTATAACACTGCTGTTCATCACCTTGGTGAAGAGAGAAGGGGACGCTGGCACTGCAACACAGCACAGACCCTTAATCAAAATGCTGCAACAATATGATAGTCGAAGTTTATATTTTGTGGTTTGAATAGTGACTACTCGTATTTAGTAAGATTTACAGTTAAGTGATGACTACTAGCTCAAAATCTTTCATTTTTCCCACTCTCAGCAAGCAGTTCAAATCTATATTGCAAACCTCCAAGCATGTTTATTATTGGTGATAGATATGCTGTGTGTTTGTGTTCTTCTTTCTCCAGCTCACCCTCCCCGTGAGTGGTCTCCGTGACACTGTCCGATGGTTTGCTGGCCCCATGGGATGTGTAGGCCTTGACGTAGAAAGAGTAACTGGTGGAGGCCTCCAGGTCTCGGATGATCTGCTGCAGCGTCGCCTTACTGAGGGCCTCCTCATACTCCATCTCCGCAGGGTCTGAAGGAAGAGGATGGGTTGAAAACACATAAATAGGAAAAGAAAGCAGGAGCAGGCGTTAAAGTGGTGGAAATGGGATCAAGAGAGGAAACAATAAATACAATCTGTTTCTGTCATGATTTTATGGTTATTGCCCATTTCACTGGTTTTATCAGAGCAGCTCCGTTAGGTAATAGCTAATCTAGTTTGGCCCTGGGAGCCTGAATGATGATGGTTGGCTGAATTGCAGGGGTGGAGAGAGGAGATTGAGGGGGCAAAAGGGGGAGTTTCAAAGGCTGTGTTAAAGCATTTTATTGCTCTCAATCCAGAGACAACCAACCATAACCACTATCTACATCCAGCCCTCAAACCATTGGGCCATACCATCTTGCAAGGGTAATTACAGCAGATCCTATTGGTTGGCCCCCAGGGCCCTTAATTATCCATCTGATGAAACTATTGAGGAGAACAGCAGCTGGTGCTACGAGACCCTCACCCCACACAAATACACACAAGACACACATACTTGCCCAAAGCTGTAACAAACATACTGCATGTGGCATGCACATGTTTGTACACACACAGACAGTATCATTCCAATACACTCATAGATCCCAAGGCCAAAATATATGAAGTTTAGTTATTTAATTATCCTCATTATTTCCCAGTAGAGGCTAGGAACTCGTACTGTTGCAAAAACACAATTTTGGTAATTTATTAGATTTTATGATTTTACACTGCCACTGTAAGTTGGCATTGGATAGAAGTGTACCCGCACTGGGAGTTTCTGTTATCAGTAATTGAGACTGTTTATTGGGCTGTTGGGTTGTTTCTCTCTGGGGTCCTTTTCAGATTTTCTAACAACAAAATGCAACTTGAAACATGAGATCACTTCCTTGTGTGTTCATTTTGACACATTTAATTGATCATAGAAACACCTTAATTAGCATTAGAGATGAGAGTGACAGTCATTTATTAAAGGGATGCTGGCACCATTTGTAATTTGTGTGTTAGTCCTGCTCGCCAATTGTTTCCCCAGGCCACTCAGTGTCAGTGATGTCTATCAACATCACTTCAGTATAAGCGTTTCATCACATCATCATATCTAATGGTGACTTATTTTCATGTAATTTATTGCATATAGCCATCTAGATCTTCATTGCAGCCCTACCTGAAGTCTTGCGGATGTGCAGCACATAACCGATGATGTCCTGCGTGTTTTGCTCCGGCTTTCTCCAGGACACCTGGATGTTGGAGGGGGAGAGGGCCTCAGCCCGCACCTGGGAGGGCACACCAGGCAGTCCGTTGGCCCCGAGTACCGTGAGGCGGGCGCTGGCCTGTGTGGAGCCGGCGCTGTTCTCAGCGATACACTGGTAGATCGCCTCGTCGTCCTGGCTGATACCATAAATCGTCAGAGTGCTGTGAGAGGAGCAGCACAGAAGAGAGGGGACAGGAAGGAATCAAAGTGGGAAAGAAAAAAGAAAAAGGGGGATGTTTAGTTTCTCTGACATCAATATGAAAGAGAAGATGTTTGAATTTTCAAACCCAAAGAAGTTCATTTTAAAATGATGTTAATAGTTATTTTAAATGAATCTTAATTACATTTTATGATGTTATGTACCAAAGTTGTTACATAACTACAATTGTAAAAATCCCACTTTTCTTTAAAACTGAATTAATATCTGTTTTTCTGATCAAAAATCTTTTTAATGCGTTTCGACAATGCATAACCAGTGTTTGTCATTTAGAGATGGAAAGCAACATCTTTGCATACAAATGAGACAGTGGTCTGCACTGATTGTATGTACAAAGAGAACAAATTATTACAAATAACACAAACAAACAATAACAATGATATCTGTTTTTAACTAGTTTTCCTTATTGAAGAAAGTACTTATTATATCTTCTTCTAGTAGATACATTTGATTGTATAGTTTTATGTCTTGAGAACAAACGTTTGACTTAGTAACAAATTACTGCACTGAATAAATGTAATGTAACTTCACACCTCAGGAAAGGACTGCACAGAGCAAAGAAGATGAATGTGACATTGTGACAGCATGTCAAAAGTGTGTGTGTGTGTGTGTGTGTGTGTGTTTGAGTAAGTTACAGAAAGAGCCACACATCACATCACACACTTCAGACAGCAGCAGTGCGCACAGAAGATCCTCACTACTCATGCAGAGCATGCACTTTCAAACTGATTCGTCTTCGACTCGAACTCACAGAGTAGATAAATCTATTTCACTATTTCAATTTTTTATTTATTTAACTACATCAGTGAAACCTTTCATCTGTCCATCCCCACATAATGTACTCACCTCATCACTCATACCTATATACACACATACACATCCTCCCACGCTCAATGCCTTCACTCTGTATTCCCTTTCTTCCACCCGACGCTCCCCACGTCGCACATCCACAACTCTGCTCTTTGTCTTTCTACTGTACCTCTGCTGCTTCTTCTTCCCTCCCTCCCAACTGGCCTGTCTCCTGTTATAGGAGAAGTATCAGCCGTGTGTGGTGTGTGTGTGTGTGTGTGTGTGTGTGTGTGTGTGTGTGTGTGTGTGTGTGTGTGTGTGTGTGTGTGTGTGTGTGTGTGTGTGTGTGTGTGTGTGTGTGTGTGTGTGTGTGTGTGTGTGTGTGCATGTTGAGTAGGTGTTATTAGATGACAATAAATAATTCCACTCCTCTTATTTGCCCTAAGGCAAAAATAAAACATTTAACATACTATTGAAATGAGACCCTGTGGCGCAAAACAATTCTGCATGCAATTTTCCTACCATCGCCATTTCGGATAGAGTAAAATGTGCAGGAGAAAATTGAAAACGCGCACATAATGTATACCTTGGCAATGTTGAAGGGCTTGTATTGTGACTTTATCTATTTTCTCTGCTTAAAAAAATACCTTGGTTTTGGCATTTTAAGAGATCAGAAGCGCCTTTCAATTGAAAGAAGGAAAACCCTCTGGCTCCTGGTTCTCATACTGTGCTTTAAGTTGAAACAGTAGGATTGAATGCCGCAGGAGTTCACCACACCCTGCAGCATCCCGCCTAATCCGACACTTGCAATTTCTAAGAACCTGTGGAACAGATTCTAATCTTTCTATGACGGACAGGTAGCATAATTGCTGTATTAAATTCAAATGTATTAAGAAATGCCAGGTTGATCCCCGTGAGGGAAAGCATGGCATTTATTGAAATAACTACATATCAGCCGTGTGCGGTGCATGGGGACTGTGACCAACCACCTTCTGGACCTGTGAAATTGGACATGAAGAAATTGGCATTTCAGCTATCGACACACGGCGCTGAAGTCCAACCAGCCTCAGCGTGGTATGTCAGGATGGATTTGTAAGGACGAGGGGGTGCTGTGCCGGGTCAGCAGGCAGGATGGAGAAGAGAATCGTTCCATTTGCTTTTCAAAATTGATGTGCTGGCTGGGATACAATTACTGTACGTCTCTAATCTGGGTCAGAATACGCTGCGAGGTGGAAGAGTTATTATTCTCCTCGCTCTGCCAGGTGGATTCAATCTGGACAATTATCAGGTCAGAGAGGCCCTCTGTGTTTCACCCACTCTGAGCCAATCTCACCTCTGACCCCTGAGGTGGCAGCAGTCGCCAGCCTCAGCTCACTACTCAACCATCACATTTCTGACAGCCTTTCATATCAGCGATGGATGGAGTGTTTTCAGACAGGCAGCCCTGACCAAACGCCGCAAAGAGGCCCCGGGGACACACTGCCCCGATGCCACCGGGCCTGGACGGGCCTCATGGGTGTGTGAGGGGAATGCAGGGAAATTTCACAAGACGTTGCGCTTCAGAAAGTTCAGTAGCGGCCGGCATGTGTGCTCACTCACATGCAAGAACACACAGACACATGTATACATGGATTGCCAAATATGCGCAGTCTGATCCTGCTGACGTTTAGCTTATGAAATACCACACCTGATGTCCAAACTTCCTTTCCAAATTCCAAAACGATAAAAGCTTTAGTGGTTTCAACATTTAGAGTATCCGAAAATAAGTATATGAGTAAGAGACAGAGAAGTAATTTGGAGATATACTGTATATTTTAACTTTTATAAATTAGATTGTTCACATATCCCTTATAAATGATTAAAATGTGGGATCAATAGTGTTTTTTGTTGGCTAAGACTTCATTTAATGTTTTACTAAGATAAGAAAGATTCTGTGTTTTGGTTTCACCTTTGCATCATGTTTGGAGGTGAACCAATACTTTGTTTTTTTTTAGAGACTCTAGAAACAACTTGGCAAAGGAGAATAGCGTCAAACCTGATGGATGCCCGATGTTTAGAATAATTAGTTTTAGGCTGTATTGCAATTTTGTTGATTAAGGTAAAAGGAAAACCTTTACATAGGAAAACCTGAGGTAAGTCAAGGACTACGAGATGTAGTTAATGAAAATAAGTTAGAAATGCAAAGAAAAATACTTCTTATAAGTTAAGTTCTTTGTCTGGACAACTGTTTTCTTCTATAGGTAATAATAATATATAATATAATAAGATAAAAACAGTTTCTCTTTCAAACATCCTCAGTCAAGGAGAGGACAATACCACACAAGGTTCAAGGGACTCTTTAAATCTATCTTATAATGATTTTTTAGAAGAGCTTTTAAATAAATAGTTTTGCCCCGAATTGTACAATACATTAATATTCAACAACACAGCAAGGCCACCAAAGATCCCTACAAGGCGTGAGAAAAAAAAAGAAGGATGGGAAGTCTGAGTGAGACAGAAGAAGAGGTCTGGGAGGTATATGGCCTGAATTTGGGCTCTTTGCTTGACTTACATGATCTCCAGAGCCAAGCTGTCCTATCCTGACAGGTTGACACCATCATTTACTCATCAGTTCAAGGTCACTTCACAGATTGATGGATAAGGCCGTGGGCAAGGGGAGTGGCTGACAGAGGGGCCTTGAGCCTGTTGTTCGGCTGTGTTTACTCACCGTTGTCTCTGAGCAGCACCCCATCAAAAGCCAGCGTGGCCATTGTTGATTCAGCAAGAGGGAGAGGGGGAGAAAACTAAGGGGACAAAGGGAGAACAGGAGGAAGAGGTGGGAAAGGGGGAGGGGAGGAACGATGAGCTGTCTCTGGCCTGAGAGGAGGGAAGGGCCCAGGGATATGACTGATTACAGGCGGGGTCAGAGTTCAAGGCCAATGCCCAGGCCCCAGCTCCGTGTAATGGGGACAGGAAAGGGGGATGTGGGGCACAGAGAGGGGCCGCAAACAAGAAAGGCAAGTCTGGGTGAAAGAAAGAGAAGAAAAAGGGAAAAAAATAAAGCCCTTTGAAAGGATTCTGCAACGAAATGTCCAGGTTTGTGTGCAGCCTGTTCCTTCAGATGTTGGCCATTAATTATTAAACACACCACGATGCTCACACACACTTGAAGCATGTTCTTTCCCTTACTATACAACTTAAACTCTCTCTACACCAGTGTCAAAAAGAATCCCATGTATTCTAAATTATTTACAGAAAGAGAGTAAACTGATCAAATGTTTATGGGATCTTTCCTTTAAATCTTCATTCACCACAAGAGAGAACTAAATGTTCGTCAACAGTACAGTATCACTTTAAAGAAACACAGATTGGATTTCAACCTAACGATTATTTCACTGTCTGATGTGAGATCACAGCTTGTACGTGTTGGATTATAACAAGTGTTAGCTTTAGTGGCTTTATAGTGAGGCAAGTCCTTATATAGTACATCATTAGTAACAGCTCTCATCCAGGCTTCTCATAGCTACAATAGGATGTTTCTCAGGAGCCTGGCGAACAAGGCCCAATAATGTTCTGTTTACAGAAGCAGCTTATCGGCTTTTCTCTGACATCATCGCATCTTATGCAGCCTTTCACGTCGCTGTGTCTTCCTTGTTTGTGTAAAGTGTGTAAAGAGTGCGTGCGGACGAAGCTAGATAGTGCAACACGTTGGCGAATTTTCATGTTTGATTATGCGTGTGCAGAAAACGAATGATGGCATACACCAAGGGGCTATTTGTGCACATACAGGGCTCACTTGCTTTTTGATTAATGTGTGTGCATGCATGTGTATGAATGAAATGTACAATCGATTCCCCTTCCTTCCCTTGTCCGATTTGCTTTTGAAGGTCAGCGTCATGAGAGATGCCTTAGTGTACAGTATGTGTGTGTATGTGCTTTTGTGTGTTTGTGCACACACACACTAATTAAAATATTTCTGGTACACTGCACTCACTATATGCAAGCTTCCCGTATCCGATAGAGTATGTATATCTATCTATAGATAAGAACAGAATTGTAGTGCTGCCCAGAGCTGTTGAATACAATTTGCATATCATTACTGCTGTTTTGCCTTGGTTCACGAGGTAAATGGTGCCCTATGCCACATCATTTCCCTCCTTTCAGGACCTCCACTGCACTAAAAACACACCACATAGCTTTTTTGGCTTCAACTTATTTTTTAAATTTCATATACAGCTTAACTTGAGCGGACGGTTATAGCTCGCAGGGAGAGCATGTAGGCTCCAATGATAAATAAATAATATAAAAAATAAATTTGACAAATTTGACTTGACTTGATTTAATCATGGGGGTTGGTTGTTGGACCCCTTTCTCCTCTAATGTGTGTACTGCACATGAAATGTTAACCATGGAACGCTATTCCACCAAATTATATTCTGGGAGAGGAAACGCTTATATTTAACAATTCTGGTAACTGTTCCCAGGCCATGCTAGGTGTGAATATTATTCACTGGTAACATATCACATTTTTAACCCTAACCCATAAATCAGTTACTCTATTCAGATCCAATTTATTGAAAACATTTCATATTCTTTTTTTATTCAAAACAGTAAAAATGACACCTGTAGCCTACTGGTTTGCAAATGTGAATCTTTGCTGGGATTTACTTTAATTTATTAATAATAAACAAAGAGTATTTTTGTTTGGGGTTAGAGTTTGGGACATTGTGATGTTCAAGTCAAAATTTCCCAAACTCTAACTCTAAAAACATAATTTAATCGGCAATTAATCAATGATTAGAATAATTTTTAGTTGCGAATGAACGCAATCCAGGAAATAGTAACATTATCAAAAACAAAATAATAACCCTATAATTTCAGGGTTAACACTCTGGATAGGACTGATATTCACATTAAACTATTAACAAATGATTACGACAATAGAGATAATGACAACGACTCAGACTGATATGTGTTCTTTCTGTTCTCCTCACAGCTCAGCTACACAATACAAAAAGATGCACATCACGCTGCCCTGCTCTCCATATGGCTGACTGCTTTTCCTGGTCATCTAGCTGAGTTTATGAAATAATTAGCTAATGGTAGATCTCAAGCTGAGACCTGCCTACTTAACCAATCACAGAGCAGAGTCTGTGATGCATGACATGCACATTATAGCAGGTCTAAAGCATACACTAATGGTGGCAAGTGGAAAACGCTGTGATTCTCTGAACCCGCTGTATCTTTCTCCCTCTCTTCTCATTTGTTCTTCCTCATCATTTCTCATCTGAGCCCCAGTTAATTTTTTCTCCTCTTTTTTTATGTCTGAGTCCGGCTTTTCATTTATTTCTTCCCCTCTCTTCTTTCCTCAATCTCTCTGACTAATATGGACTGGTGGAGGTAAGTGGGAGTGGAGCAGTGTGTGTGAGCGATGGAGGTGTCCGCTCCCTTCACTCACTGCTACGGAGTGCAAGTATTGATTTTTTTGGGTGCAACTTCAATATATTCACTTCACATCTCTCTTTTATGAATAATAACAAAATGCACGGATGGTTGGCTGCAAGGGTCAACTGGAGAAATGTAACTTTCCACATCCAGGAATGCAGAAATGCAGAATTTACTTTAATGGATGGAGTGTCACAGTTTAAAACCACACACACCCAGAAGTACTAGCAACAGGCTGGACACTCAAGTGCTTGAAACCATGTGAAGGAAAACTATTGATCATGACATCTTATCAGCTATCACTCTGTAAAACTCACATGCAGCATCTACAACTGCTGAACAGTAGATCCAATGTGTAATTGCTCCTCTATTATCTCAAAGATAGATCTCTGTCCACCTACAGTACTGTAACCCACTAAATGCAGGTTTTACAGTGTGTGGCACTGGGAATGATAACTAGCAGAGACTGTCTCGGGGTCCTCCTCCTAACGACATTCCTGGGGACTGCCATGGGAAAGCCTCCAACATCCAGTCAATACGCTGCTCGCATACAAAGGCACAAATAAATTGAGGCTCATGTCTTGGCAAGCGTGTATTCCAGCAGCTGCCGTGATAGAGGCAACAGTTACGCAGATAAATTGAAAATGTGATGATGCCAATGATCAGATCAAGGCAGCAGTGATTAATACTGACACCCATGTTACTTCTGCGAGCTTGGTCCAAGTTTGTCGTCACGGTTGAGAGGAGATCGGCGCTGTGTTAATGACAGCTCGTATTATGTGGTGGATTATATCATTGCTCTATTTTCAGATTCAAATAATAATAATAATAATAATAATAACTGAACCACTTTCTAATAAGTCACCCTTAATAAAGAGGTTAATAAGGCTGGATCACAATTTGTATTTCCCATCAATACGACTTAAAGAGTCTTAATATACATGTATAGGGTGACTTTTTAAAAGTGGTACCAACCTATCTTCTAATAGGAATTATCCATTCTGTTTTAAATATACCTACATGTAGAATATAAATATGAAGAATGCATTAGGCGCATTCACACTGCGGTACTTTTCCCACAAAGGTTCATGTGAACTTAGTTCATGTGAACTCTTTTATCGCGTTCACACCAAAAAGAGCCGGTACTAAAAATGTGTTCATGTGAACCTTTTTACCCCCACGAAAGTCCCTGCTAGAGAGCAGGGACTTTCGTGCGCCTCTCTTGTGAGAAAAGAGCTATGTTTCTGATTGGCTGGGCGGATTGCAAACCACGCCCCGTAAAACTCCCAAAAAGTTTTGTGAAGCCGCCATTTTATTATCCTCGCATTAGCATTATTAGCATTAGCATTAGCCCAGCGCAGAAACGCAGAGAGACTAACTTATGGCAACACAAAATAAAACATGGGAGCGGTGGAGATGAGGAGGTGTCGGCGTTCTGGCGATTTACTCGGAAGGCTTCAGTAGAAGCTGCTGGCAGCTTAGTTCATGCGAACTAAATAGTTCACATGAACATGGGAAAAGTACCGCAGTGTGAATGCGCCTATTGGTATATCAGATGTTAGCACTGCAAAAGTCTTAAAAAACATGATGCCATAGAACTTTGCTAAGCAGACCTCTCCTATTTAAAAAAAATGTCAATAAAAGCCGAAAAAGAGAAGTTTCACCAAATGTAAATGTAAGGCAGAGCTCTAGTTTTGTTTGGTTATTGTTTTCTGAACCCAGAACAATCTGAAGGAATTCCTATATGATTACATATACGTAAGAATACAGGGAACATGTTTGTCCTCACCTGTTGTTGTTCCTGAGTTTGACGTGGCCCCCGGGCTCCAGGATCTGCCCGTTCTTCAGCCAAGTGAGCTGGGGCTCCGGCTCGCCCTGTGCCTGGCAGGTGAAGATAGCGGTGGTGCCGACGGGCCGAGCGATGGACTGGGGTGCTTGAACAAACTTTGCCGGAGCTGAAAGAGGAAGGAGAAAGGGAGACAGATTAATCAGTGCCAGAGAAAGAAAGAGGTTGATTTTAGCAGGTTCTAAACGTTATATCAAGTGTCAGAAGAAGAAAACAAAGCAAGAAAAAACAATATGATTAATAAGAAGAGAAAAGAAAAGACAAAGTGAGAATGAGAGGAGAAATAGGACAGCCCACCCTGTAGGCAGGCAGCTGTCAATTACAATAAAGAAGCACCGTACTGCATTATATTGTAGGTGTATGATATAAATATCGTTACAATCTATAACACAGGGTCAATTAGCAGGATTATATGAGACACCAGATCAATGCAGATACAGGGAATTAAAAGAGAGCGAGAAGAGCAGAGAAGTGGAAGAAAGAGAGCAAGACAGTGTATGACAGCTCTACCCTGTGCTTTAAAACAGCAACACATTTTCATGAAAATAATGTGCTACAGTTCATAGTTTCATCATTTCCTCTCTCATCCTATGCTACAGGCTTCCAGCTATGGTCAATTAGTGGTAATAACTTATTCATATGAAAGGATTCTGGTCGCAGAGAAGGTTCTTTCTTTGAATCACAGAGTAATAACGGTTTTATCCGCTGCAGTTTAATTACTGGTTGGGTGTTTTTATTTGAGCTGACAGACAGAGTCTCTCCTCTGCACTCGTTATTGTCCCAGACATTATCAGTGATTTGATAACCTGAATTATTTATGCCCATATTAAATAAGAAAAATGTTATGGTAATTATAATATCCCGGAGTAATCACTAGAGGGTAGAAAGCTTGAACACTAGGACTATCATATTGGATGATAAAAAACAGATCATTTAAATCATCATTACCTGGTAAGAGCAAATTGTAAAATGTCACCTTTAACAATAAAACTATTTTCAATTATGTTAAGTGACTTTTAATGCTAAGAAAAACCCTGCATGAATCTCAAATGGCAACAGTTGTTCATAAAGAGCAAAGCTTAAGTGTTTATTAGTTTCAAGCCCATTCCTCCAGCGTTACATCTTAAAAACAAGTCACACATACACAGGTCATCTTTTGAGTTAGCTTCTTTAACAGAAGTATATAGTGCAATGTATTAGGGACTATTTTTCCCAGCGGACTAATACCTTTTTGGTGCACATGTGAGCTATAGCTGCTGTGTATATGGGATTGAACGAACATGTCACTAAAAATATATTTTGTGCAAAAACAAAGGCAGAATGTCACATATAAGTCTTTGGCAACAATCAATGTATTGTGAGTTTTGTTCTTTTCAAGGTAAAGCTTTACAGGTAACATCAACAGCAACATTTCCAGCCACTCAAATATCTTTGTTTAAAGTCTTTATTTCCTTTCAATTTTAATATGTTTGACTTTTTCCCCCGGCTCTTTTGTCCTCCTTGTTGTTCCCGTCCATAAAGAAAAAATGTTCTCTGACACTTGTTCAATGTAAGCATTTCGATTTTCCCATTAGAAAAGCTAAGGGGCCCTCAGGCACTTGCATGATGGCTGCTGACAGTGTGAGGGTCCTTATATATATTCATCTTGTCCTCTTTCCTGTATTCGTTCTCTCTTCCTCTCTCACTCAGCGTGTACGTTCAGGACCGTCTTGAAGGGTTAGGGTCAAAGGGACCTCGATGAAAGTAATAATCTGCACCTGTTGGTTGGATCACAGCACCTTCCACACATCTCACTCTTCTTCTTCCTTTTGGGCTGTGACACTGTGACTCCTCCCCCAGTCTTCCTTTTGCTTGGATTTATTTTTGTATCCCAAAGGAAAACCTTAAAATGAACATAAATGAGCAGTACTCTCGTCTGCATTCATTTGGTTGGAGTTACTGGCCGCTATGCTTTCTTTCTGAACTGAAATCCATTAAAAACCTCTCATATTCACAGAGGTGTCAAGTAGACACTAGACTATTTGTACTTCAAAATAATAATTCTTCAACAACCTTTAGTTTCTAAAGCTTTGTATTTTCCTATAATGAAATAAGCATCTCCTACACTGATTTTAGGTAACAGTACACCGTTTTTTCCACAAATCCATAACAAACCCTAAGACATTGACACATGATTACCATCCATGGCTTTGTTCCTACTGGGGTGACACTTGTCTCTGACTTGACAGGCAGATACAATGAAATATTGACCAGGATCAATACTGCCATGGGCAGTAATCAAAGCCTGGTCCATCTGATCCATATGTGAGTGTGAGGTAGATGCTGTATGTTCCTGCTTGGCAGCGACGTGCAGTCAGGGGAGGCAGGGGAGGCAGAGCCTCACTTGTCATACTCCAATGTACGGAAAAACAACTAAAGAAAAACTAAATAGTAATAATAATAAAATGTCTCCACTGATCTGTTTTATAAATGTGATTTATGTATGATTCCAATCACTTTTTATAGTCAAAATCAGCAAATTTGACGAGCTCCGCTACAACTACGGGCAGCGATGAGAAGTGAGGCAGGGACGAGCTCTGCCTCTCGTAAGCCCACAGTAACTGGCTGGAGCGCGGGAACTAATTTAACGCGGGCACTTATTTTGTGAGCGCGCTCAAGCCAGTTACTGTGGGGTGAGGTGAGGCACAGATGAGCTCTGCCTCACCTCAGAATGCGTCACCCCACAGAAACTGTCTGGAAAGCGGGCCCTAAGCGCATGCCTGCACCATCTCACTGTAGGTCACCAATGTAATGTTTGTAGATCCCTTTATTACATTTATCCTCACCATCCATAGTCTCTAAATAACTTATTTCACGTATATATGATATTTAGGCTCGCTGGTCTCATCATACAACGGCAATGAAAAAAGCACCAGGGGAGGCAGCCATAACCTCTGCCGCACTGAAGGGGGCGCACGTGAGCCCACAGGTTCTTGTTGCTACTGTTATTCTACGCAGAGACGGTAGACGCAAACAACAAGCTAGACTTTTGAAACTAGAGGAAGATAAGGAGGACTTTTACAAAAAAGTAATAGATTGTTGTCCAGAAGGATAGCATGGACTTCATCTTCAAGTCAAGGTAAGACCACAATTGTAATGAAAATGGGAACTTACTAAGAAAGAACAATCCAATATTTAGATGTTGGGTATCCTTTTGTTGAACGGTCTGTTTAAAATTAATCGAAGCATCAGACTAAAAAAGCTTTTGAAAATAACCGAATATTTCGATTAAGGTCAAAATATAATATTTGTAAATTTGACTCTGAAAGAGTCAGTGCCTCACCAGCCATGAACCTCACCGCACGTCACTGCTGCTTGGTGACAATTAATGCACCGGGGGGGCCTCCCACACCTGGGCTAATTCCATTGGTCAAGCCATGCATCTCTCTGGCCTATCATCAAACACTTTCCTGGTACAGGTTACATCACTCGTTTGAAGATGAATGCACAGAGAGAATAATAAAGCAGAAGAAAAGTAGAATAATAAAAAGCATCTTCGGAGGCTTAAATGACAATACCGGTTTTGCATGGTAGAACAAATTAACTATACATATCATTTATACAAATGACAATTTATTGACAACATATTTTATAGTTTTGTTAAAAAAGTTTTGTTATAAAAATATCCTACATTCATACACTGAAGGTTTACTGGACTGGATATACCTGCGTTCGAGTTGTGCTTTGTTGTGAAATTGAGAGTTGCTATACAATTAGACCTCACAAAGTTGGCCTTGTTGCATGGTAACAATCTGATCGTAACCCTACTACACACATCCACCTCTTATACAGAGTTTATCAGGTTACTACAGGGCTTTGCAAAGCAAGACTACAACTATAGGATTGATGTTTGCACTTTATAAAGCAAATGTATATGAGTAAGACTGCTTGTTACATTGTATTGATGATACTGTGTATATTGTTGGACTGAGAGACTAAACTCAAAGGAGTTATAAAGATCAAAACCTGCAATTCAATATGCGCAAATTGCTTTTTTCTATGTGTGTGTCCATAGGGAGGGGAAAAGACTGATAACTACCACACTAAAGAAGCAGGAGAAATACAGTCCTTTAGTTGAATGTGTCAAGTTGTGGCAGAACTTGATTAACACGCTGTGGTAAAAGATTGTGAAGTGAGAATACTTGACAAAGACACAGTAAATCATGCCTAAAAACTTTTATATCTTCTAACAATACTTGCTCCACAGACTTGAACAAAACCAGCAAACCATTGACATGATTTATCTGTGAAATATAAGTGTAAAGAATTGCTTAGATTATTGTTTCGAGCATGCTTCTTGAATTCACGCCAACTTGGTCTATAAACCTTCTCCTAACAGACGCTTTTTTATCTCTGATCACAAGTATCCCTTTGGACACAAAACACACCGGTTCACCCAATCTCGAAAAAGGTTTTTGCCATAAAAGATGTAATTACATGTGCCTCCAATGTACTAAACTGCTCATGGTTTCTTGTCCGTGTGGAAGGGGCAACATTGGTAAAAGCTTTTTTAAACAACATTTTAGTGACTTAAATCAATCAATCAATCAATCAATCAATGTTTATTTATATAGCCCAATATCACAAATGTTACATTTGTCTCAGTGGACTTCACAGTTTGTACAGAATATCAGTAGTACTTAAAGGTTGGTTTTACAAAAATGACTGCTTCATTTGATGTTGTAGGTTTATTTTTCTTTCATTATTAATTATATCCACCTTACTGATTTGAATCATGTACATGTCAGGTAAAATGACATTTAAATACACTTTTAATCATCACACATATACACACCAAAGCATAAAGTGATATATAGCCTTTGCATTTAACCCATCTCACTATTCGAAGCAGCTACTACCTAGCTAAGCAATGTTAGAAATGCTTTGTTTGAGGATGGGAAGGCGGTGAAGTTATCCCATGGCAGTCCGAGTGCCTGCACAGGGGTCCACCCACAGAATCCACAAGCTTTACCTAATCACCTGAATCCAGCAGTATTTCTGTGTTTCTCTCCACGACTCCTACACAACATTTTGAAAAATAGCACTTTCCTATAATCCTGAACTCACCTTGGACCACCAGACGTCCCTGAGCAGTCCTGCGAACGCGGGTCCCCGGTTTGTTAGCAGCACATACGTAGACCCCTGAGTGTTGCACACCCACATCTGAGATCATCAGGTTCCCTGTGCCGAGTACCTGGATGCCCTCCACACCGATGGGACGGCCGTCTACCCGGGGAAGAAAGAGAGAGAGACGAATTGAGAAGGATGGGAAAATAATAACTGTATGTAGGGCAGCAGAAGAAAAGGACCAGGTGTGCACATCTACAGTATGTTTTCATGTTACATTGAAGTAAATGTGTCAAAGTGGGCTTGAATCCCCAGCAAGAAAGAATAAAACAACGTTTACAAGTCAGAAAGAGGCAATGGTCGTTCTGTTATCGATCAAGGATGCAGCTATCAAAGCCCAGTGTGTCATCCTTAGAATTGTAAGGTCATTTGACAAAGCAGCAAATACAACAGACTCAAATAAAGAAAGGATGCTCACTGAGTTCCTGTGTGCTGTGTGAGCGGCGTTCATGCTTTAATTAGTTGTCTTAAAGGTAACTTGTTGTCAGGGTGACATCCTACAGAGGACATTCATCATCTGTTTGTTCATTTGTTATTGTTAGTGCAGCTTTTTTAGTAGGTGTTCAGGTAATAAAAGCTTTCCCACTTGGGCTGAAACTTTATTTTCTTTATGCCTTTGTCTAACAAAGCACTTTTGCTTTTAAACAGTTACGCAGGAGATGTTCCAGCCGCAACCGGGGGGGCCAGGAACTCTAACTGCAGCGTCTAATCTCCTATCTCCCTAATCCATAGCTGCCTCCTCCTGCTGTATTTACATGATAAACTCACACTTTCCAGTGCTTCTATCTGCAGTCTCTACCCCAACAATGACACCAGTCTGCCTCTGATATTAGCTATGGGGCCAAGGGGGCATACTGATCCTATTTATGACTTCCATCTGCAGCCTGTAAACCTGTATGGTCCAGATTTGACATGTTAAAAGGCCAGTCAGGAAGGTAGGGAGATGGCCACCATTTTGGACTCCATAAAAACCATATGGTCACAAAACAGCGCTTTTATACCTTTAATGAAAATGATTAAAGGCCCTGTCACACTGTCCCGAAATTGACTCCCGATGGACACACGAATATGGAATTGTGAATTTCGCACGAAGATGGCCCCGACCACACACGAAGGCAACATTTACATTACATTTAAGACATACAACTGCAATGAAAGTACCAAAAACAATTATGTTACAGTACTATGATACTGTACTGATATCTTCAGACTTTGTTCTTTACTTTATCCGTCGTTATATGTAGAAAATATTACGTTTTTCTCCGTAATGTTGTTTCCATAACAACAACAACTTCCTGTCAACTGTCCTTCAAAATAATATATTATATCCTTTTAGTTTCACAGAACACAAATTGGGTTATTTACATAATATATTTACATGATTTTGTTGTGCAATAAAACAACCCGATGGACACACGATAAAGGAAATGTTCAAATTCGGCTGTGATCGTAGCAACATCGGGCCATTCGTGAAGGGATCTAAAGCCATCGTATGACCGCCGGTGGAGTTTCTCAGGCTCCGGCAGCAACTTCGTGAGCGGTGGCAAAATCTTTGGCATGCCAAAAAATTGCCGAAGGACCTTGCAAAGGTTCATTTTCGTGTTGAATTCGTGTGTCAATTGTGCCCTTCGTAAGGCCATCGTGAGGGCATCTTGTTATCATCGGTGCCATCGGGCATTCGCCCCGATCAGAGTGAGGGTGAATGCACCGATGATAACACGAAGATGACACGATTTGACAAGATGCCCTCACGAGTGCCTTACGAAGTTGCCGCTCACTAAGTTGCTGCCGGAGCCTGAGAAACTCCACCGGCGGTCATACGATGGCTTAAGATGCCCTCACGAATGGCCCGATGTTGCTACAATCACAGCCGAATTTGAACATTTCCTTTATCGTGTGTCCATCGGGTGTCAATTTCGGGACAGTGTGACAGGGCCTTAAAGCATGGCCAGTTCTAGTTTATGCTGTGTGATTAAGTCTTCCTTTAAATAACACTCATGTGTTTATTACAAAACATAGAAAACAATATAGATTATGAAGGGATTATAAAGGGATTAACAATAACAAGATCAACAATAAAACAGACAATTTGGACAAATTCAGTGAAAATAATGATGCAATTAAAATCAGCCTCAAACTAATGTGAAGATATGAGTTGTGGGATGCTCTTTAATCAGATATTAGATATATTTACTGGCCCTACATTGCAAAGCATCACAGAAAACACACAGTCCCTCTCACAGTTTTTCAGGTGAAGTGAACAATCCACACAAATCTATTAAACGTAATCCAATGAAGATGTAATCTGGTGGTGATGGATTATGTAGAGAACAATATTAGTAATTAATCATGACAAATTATTGAAATGCAATAAATCACTCTAGCTTCCCTGCCGAGCCGTTTTGCTCTGCGTCTGTCACCACGATTTGTTTAATTGCTATTATTTCATTTTTTCACTAACTTCTCAGTTGAGAGAGCTTTTGTCTCATCAAAAGCCGTCTTGTTCTTTTCTTACCTTTTTCTACTATATTTCTTTCTCTCTCTCTTGCCCCCTCAATCAGTTTCTCTCTGTAAGGCACTAATTAACTTAGTGTCAGAAGAGAAAGAGCACAAGCTAGTGGGCTGTGGTGCTGTTGAATGAATAGCAGCAAACAAATTCTGGCCTTAAGAGTGACTGATGTGAAACTATCAGATTCATTACGCACCATGTCCCAGCCTCCCTGCCGTAATCTAATTCATACAAATCCCATCGTGTTAGCATTTCATTCTAGCGACATTGTGTAAACCAATACCCTCAATCTGATTATGCCCAAATGCTTGGGAGGGGCTGCAATTTACATTTGGAGCAGCAAATCAGATTGCATAATAGGTAAAGAAAATAGATACCTGATTGGAAAAATGGTCACGACAAACCTTGAGTGAAAGTAAAGACAAAATGTGGGAGGGGGAAACTAATGGTATATGCTTCAGCACCTCATAGCAATTACTCAGATGCTCGTTGGTGCTTCGAAGGAGGTTCAACTTCATGAGGAGATGAAGCATGCATTTATCAACACAAAGACGAACATAATGTTTAGCCCCAAGGCCTAATGTTGAATCCCATTGCCTCATGTATGTACGCAATGGATGCTCCATTGTATCAAATGTATTCTGTGCGCTCATGTACATTACACAATGCAGGACGGATCAAAGCTGTGCTGCAGAGAACTACAAACACACAAGGACACCAAGCACATACAACCCACACAAAACTCTCAGATTTCCCAAGCACAAACGCACAAACGCACACAGGGCTCAGTGACACATGAATCCTCAGAAACACAAACACACTTGCACAGAATAAAACATTCAAAATCCATATGTGCATCTTGTGGGGTCGTTTCTTTGATCTGATCTGGATTTTTTCCTCACCTAGTCTGCTCCAAGACACGATGGGTCGGGGGTATCCGGTGGCAACACACTCCAAGATGGCGGTTTGGTGTACAGTGAGGGTGAGGTTTTCTGGACCGACCACTATCATAGGCTCTTTGTAAACAGATGACTGAGAGCCTGGAGAAAAACACAGGGGGAGAGGGGGAGATAAGATGGGACCAAGCATGATGGATGGCATCCTTTAATTGGATTTCTCTAGAGTGCATTAGCTCGATATCTCCTGAATGAGGCAGAAGAACAATAGGTTTGGAAAAATCTAGGGATATGCTGGGTAGATAGCATGCTCATGGTATGTAGATGTGAAATATAAGATTCAAATGCACCGACCTGATACAGTGAGAAGTGCCTCGGTGCTGTGTTTCACTCCTGCACTGTTATGAGCCACACAGCAGAACTTTCCGCTGTCCTCGTCATGCACACCTGTGATCTGCAGAACACCTGTCGGCAAGAGGGTGTACCTACGAGAGAAAACAGAGGCAGGAGGAGACAAATACGGTGAGATCTGGTAAATGGACGATAACATGCTGCCATCTAAAATCTCTAAGTATCAGGCTGTGATGTGGTCTGCTCCAACCTCTCGTCCTTGGTGTCCACCGGGCGGCTGTCTTTCTCCCAGCTGATGAGCGGCTCTGGCAGACCGTGGATCTGGCACTGGAATCTTGCCACGCCGGCCTCCTCAGCGTGAACTGACTCCGGTTGTTCATGGAAGTCTGCCATGGCTGTAGAGAGAGGGAGAGCGGGATATTAATTCGTAAACATCACAACAGCAAGCCTGGCAGCTTACAGGGAAGCACTATTTCTGCAAGAACACACATTTTCTTCACACATTAATGTTGCACTTTACAATCTTGTCTATATATCTGCAAGGGTAAAGTAAAAGAGCTTCACAAGCTGTGTGAAGTGGCAATGACTAAGTGCATTCACAAGCTCAAGATAAGAGATAATGATTCACAGGATGTGAATACTGACTAGCTGAACAAGTATACAAGTGTAGGAATGCTGTATTTAGGTGTTAAAAGTTTTAAACATAATCTTTTAACAGCACTTGACATAAAGTGCATACTGCTAGCTTTACTCGTCAAAGTACTAAACAGATAAATGACTATATAGTGTGGTGAAGATGAGAAGGAGAAATAGTGCCAGCTGTAAAGTAAGTATTCTTTTGAAGCCATTCTCTTCTTTCCTTTTTATAGAGAAAAATATTTTGTTCAGAAAGATAAACAGCTTGTGTGACTACAAGATTGAAGGTGGAGGACACATAGACTGACACTTATACTGACATTCACGGCCAGTACAATAATGCCTTGAACATTCCTTGGATACTAAAGGGGAGCCACTTTAAGCTTTTTTCTATGATGGCTACAACCTATTACTATCCTGTTGTTGCATTCTCCAAAGGACTGTAACATTTTATAAAACGTTTTCTTTCTACACAAATGGAGACACTTAAATGTTTTTGTTAAATCCGCAAATATTGTTCCCTTCCCTAGGTTGAGAGTAATCGCATTGTAATTTTTTTTTAATCCAAGCAAGTTATTTGGTGACAGAAGTAACTTGCGACAGAAGACAACTGAAAGAGATTATTTTCTCTATAAATGCAAAAATATAGCTTCTTCTTTCAAAAGGAATATCTAATTAGTGATTTGTGATGCAACAGTTATTCTGAGCCTTTAAGAAGAAACATGTTCCAGCTATAGGAGCATCTGATGTACAACTCTATCTGAGTCATCAGGTGCTCAAGGTGATGTCTACATACATGCCGATATAAATGTAAGCTACGGGGAGTATGGATTTCCTGCCATATGTTGACATTCAGCATGTAGACCTGGCATGTTTTTAAAGATGCATACTAACACAAACAAAGACAACAAACACACACACACACATTGCTATGTAGCATAACCAGTATCGATATCCCTACAGAGGGCCTCACTCAGCTGCACTTCACATTTCTACTTGCGGCAGAACAAAAGCAACATTGAAGGTGGAGCCAGCAACAAACTCAATTAGAGAGAGGCCCTCTTCTTCCACAGTTCTCCCTCCTTCTTCAACACAAGTGTACTCATTTAAACGTCAACCATAATTAACTAGGACACAGGAGGACTTATCTGAACACTGTTAGCATAACAAGAGGGACGGACTCTTATTATTTCATAGCCTCATGCTCTTCCTAACCTGTAGCCGGCGTCAATTCATTACTTGCAGAACGAGTTTATTTCTGACTGACTGACTTGGCTTGTTGGCTGTTTGTCTTTTCACTTATTTATATTTCTGTTCCCACTTGTCTTTATTTTGCACAGCAGACAATTATATACTGGTAATGGATTTCAATCCCTTCTTACTTATCATTCGTATTTGGAAAGGGGATAACAAAGAGAAAACACAATATATGTCTGATTGGAAATAAAACCAAACCACCAACAAATATTTTAATGGACCACAGACAGATACTTTAGAAAGAGTGACAGTACTTTAGACCCATGTGTCTGAAACAGTGGTCTAGTACTTCGATTATTCCATTTAGGAGCCTAATAAGAAGTGGGGCATTCTCCAACACGACTTGACCTTATATCTCTGATTGGATGTATGGCGCTTTAATATAAACATTTAACCATTATAATTTAGTATCTTTCCAGCAGTGACAGCTTCACTTCCTACGCTACAAGATCTCTTTGAGAGAAGAGATCCACGTCCACGTCCACTTGTTTCCACTGGCTCAAGATAAATTACGCCCCAAAAAATCTGACTGTTACTCAGCCTGACAGGGGCTCATATTTTTCCTTTGGCCCCTGTACTACGAGGCCACACTTAAACAGCTGTATATCTTATTGGGGTAATTCAGCTTAAGTGCCTATCTCAGGGGCCCAACTAAATTCTTCCACCTGGGAGCCACAACATTCTAGCCATAAAGCATTTTAGGCTAACCTCACTGTGAAGTTTAGACAGCCTAAAAGTCACAGAGAACATTTACCAGATTTGATCACCAAATGAGTATTATAGCACATATGCAGCTTTTGAGATGTACTTTAGATAATAATAGTTTTCTTTAACCACAGCGAACTGCAAGCTCTAGGCATTTTAATCATTTCACTTAATGTGTAAAACACTGAACATAATTTCAAACAAATTATTGTATATCTCACAAGACAGTCTATTTACCCGTAAGAATATTTTCATGGGTTCTCACTTCTATTCGTGACTCGCTGACAAAAGCAATCAGAAACACTTTCTGTATCGGCTTGTCGTAACACGGAGCCGGGGGTAGAGACTGGCAGAGTCAGGCATCGAATCAAAGCCCTGAAGTCGCTGCAGAAAGGTCAGGAGCAGTGAAACAGCTAGGAACCCTTCAAAAAATAATAGTGAGTGACAGATCTGATCAAAGACGCTTGCTGTCTTGGAATTCAGTCTTAAATTGAGATACAAACATGCTGCTGTTTTTACTTTCCATGTGTACTGGGAACACTGGGGACATGGAGAAAGAAACACAATTGCACTTGAATGCTTAGGAACAAAGGAGTTAAAAAGGAGGAACAGCGCCTATGGGAGCTTTCTTGTGAATCTCTGCCAAGTAGTCATGGTGTCCGCTGATCTGGCTGCTGTGTGTCCACCGACTAAACCCCCCTAACGGGCCCCACCCTTGGCCTTCATGCATAAAACATGGCTTCTCTAAGAGGCCCACACCCCTGCGCCTATCGACACACTCGTAGATCAGACACAATCTGAGAAATCACAATAGGGTTACATACTCAGATAAACACGTACAGAAGCAGAGAGACTTGTTAACCATCTGCGCTAGATGCGGAGGAAAACAGCGGTTCCTAATCTACATTGTGCATGTGGCTTTTTATTGTTGGAGAGGTTGCAGAGTCAATCTAAAGTCATAAAGCGCAGCTACAGCACAGACATATAAACATATGCAAAGAGCTGCTTCAACAGAAACAAACAACCATATCGATCCCCCTTCTGCTGCAGGAGAAGATAGACACACACGAGGAACTCTCACTCACCCCGACACACTAGCGCTAACGGACAAGCTCCTTTACTGTTTTTCGCTCTTCCTTTGCTAAGTGTTGACAGACACATGATTAAAGACTGTCCACTACCAGCGCGACGCTGCTGGCGTCAATTGAGAAGGTCTAATTATTGCAATAATGGAGAGAATGGTTGGGGTGCATACAGTACTAAAAAGAAATCCATACATACAAGTGTGCAATTGCTCCTTCAACATATGTCTCCGTAACAACCACGAAAAGAATAATGAGTGAGGGAGTAATACGAGTAAAGGTCAGACACAAAATGGGAAGCGTGGTGATTTTGAAGTGAGCAGTAAATAGGGTTGTGTCAAAACTCTGGTCATCTAATAATAGCCATCAAGGGAGAAGCACACCTGCACGTTTGTTTCAATTAAAGACCAAAAGTTCCAGAAGGAAACATCATCAGGCTAAGATGAGTTTTAGTAACATTTAGGTCAAAATGTCACATCATGAAAAGGCACAAAGCCATATGAAGGATGACATACAAATCCAAGCGCTGATTATTGGGTTCGACAGCCAATGAGGAGCTTAAAAGGCAGTCAATGTTGATTAATTTCCCAATCCTTCAATTTCACAGTGCTAAATATTTAGGATGGTTGATTTTTTTTCTTTTCCAATCCAAGCAACTCAGATTTATCTAATGAAGAAATGTAGATTAAATGGTGATTATGTGAATGACCTCTTGCTGCATTATGTTTTGCCTAATAGCCCAAAAGTAATGATCCATCTTCTTATTGCTCAGTTAAACACACCAGAGAATAATTAAGAACGTGATTAAAAGCCCAAACTGTGCGGTTTCCTGTGACGACTCCTGCAGCAATGTCCGAATCAACCAATCTGATGAAACACTTCCATTTGTTTCCTGGGGATGATTCATTGATATGACGGAGGTAATGACGCAAAGAGAAGGACATGCATCCTACGGCACCGTTCAAATCTGCAGCTACAGTGCAAGGCTTCAGTGAGCTCCCATGTTGGAAATATCATTTCCCTCCCTCACAGCTTCGCTTGCCTCCAGCCCCCCGCCCCCTTCCATCCTCACATTTTCAACCGTTTTCTCGATTCTTCATCGCACACCTCGCCCCACCCCCACGAGCCCTCTCAGGCCTGTGACATCATTAGACAGCATGTTGTTCAAGCAGTGGTGATGACTGCCGTACCCACCCCACCCCCACTTCGGTAAACCAGTAAAATAGAGATGAGGCCCATAAATGATGGAGTTGGTGTACGGTGCTATTCCAGCGTGGAGAGCCCACACTTCAGCAGCCTTTAAATAGGCATCCCTGAAATAGCAGGCCCTGTGCTGGGACCCTAGAGATGGCATTTTAATGCAGATGTAATATTTTATTGGCTCCCTGCCCCAATAACCCCCCCTCCCCCACTCTCCCCAAAGCCTGGGCACTGCTGTGATCAATCTGCTGGTTGCGTTGCGTGATGCTTATCACCTACGAAAGGAAGGGCTGCACGTGTGTGGGCTGTCTCTGGCACACATTAATTTGACTCCTTTAAATGCTTTGGCACATCAACACCTTCCTGTTCAGTTAAGCTGCATTTCTGCCGTTCACGCTCTACTGGCAGAAGTAAGGATGCACATGAAAAACCAGACCTATTGGACATTGGTCACACTCAAATATGGGATGAGAAAACACAGGGGCACAAGGTGAACACAATCAGGAAATCAGGTA